TCCTCACCTCCCCCCTCTCCCTCTCCTCACCTCCTCCCCCCTCTCCCTCTCCCTCTCCTCACCCCCCCTCTCTGCCTCCACAGGTCAGTACATTGACCTACTATTGAGCCTGGGAGCTGTGGAAAAACTCCTCAAATTGGCCAGCACCGACCACGAACCACTGAAGAGACGGGTGTTCGCTTGTCTGGAGGTCTTTGCACGCCGATGTGAGTTCCAGCCCTACGTGTCTTGTTGTTGTTGTAGTTGTTGTCGTCGTCGTAGTTGTTATTGTTGTTGTCGTTGTTGCTGTTTTGGTGTTGTATTGTTTTGGTAAGAGTTTTATGGCGCTTGCGGCACTTGCTACATGTCACGGTAATATAATTGTTTTTTGTTTTTGATGGGGTTATTTTTGCTGCTGCCTTTGTTGTTGTTGTTTGTTGTTATTGTTGTTGTTATTATTGTGATTGCGGCTGCTTTTGCTGCTGCTGCTGCTGCTGATGATGATGATGATGATGATGATGATGATGATATTAGTTATGATGATGATGATGATAATAATGATGATGATAATATTAGTTATGATGATGATATTATTTATGATGATGATGATGATGATGATGATGATGATGATGATATTGCATATGATGATGATGATAGTAACAACACCGCCGTTTATCCCCTCCAGTTTCCAGCCACGAGAGACTGGTAGAAGACGACGTGATCCAACTGTTGGTGCAGAGTCTATCTAGGCCGTCCGCCGCGTCCACCCACCTGAGCTGTCTGTTTGCCCTCAACTCTCTGTGCCACAGGGCTAGCACACTGCGTCGTGCGCTAGAGGTGGACGGTCACTGTGTGGTCAAGACTGTTATGAGGGTACTCACGGAGTGGACAGTGCAGGTGAGAGGGGAGGGAGGAGGGTAGGGGAAGGTATCTACCCACCTGAGCTGTCTGTTTGCCCTCAACTCTCTGTGCCACAGGGCTAGCACACTGCGTCGGGCGCTAGAGGTGGACGGTTATAGTGTGGTCAAGACAGTTATGAGGGTACTAACGGAATGGACGGTGCAGGTGAGAGGGAGGGAGGGGGGGAGAGAGAGAGAGAGAGAGAGAGAGAGAAGTGGACAGTTACAATGTGGTCAAGACTGTTATGAGGGTACTTACGGAGTGGACAGTGCAGGTGAATGAAAGAGAGAGAAGGGGAGAGAGAAAGAGAGATGGAGAGAGGAAAGAGAGGAAGAGAGAGAGAGAGAGAGGGGGGGGAGAGAGAGAGTGTGAGAGAGGGAGAGAGAGAGAGAGAGAGAGGTGGACTGTCACTGTGTAGTCAAGACTGTTATGATGAGGGTAACTGAGAGGACAGTTTTAGGGGAGGGGAACGGTGTATCTATTAAAAAACAAGACTAACGGACAAGCTTTAACTAAGATGATTAAGTCAAAATGCCTAAAAATTGACCAGCGCCGTATCGTGACATCATTTATTTACTGAATATTATTATTATTTTTTCTTCCTCCAGCATCCAAACACACCATCGGCCCAGAGTGTGAGCATTGAGAGAATTAAATCCTGGTGTACAGTGAGTTGTGTCAATTTTGCTTGTTTGTTGGTTTGTTTGTTGGTGTGTTCACACACACACACACACACACACACGCACACACACGCGCTCACACACACTCACACACACACACACACGCACACACACACACACACGAAACACACTTTATTGACTGAGGCAATAACAAACAGAATCGATATAAACACAAATAAAATTTTATAGAATTTGAGTCTCAATTCTAGCTGAATGGCATTAGCAGAAATATACAGTTACCCCATAATGATATAATAGATCTAGTGGTAGCTGTCAAAACAGCTAACTGCTCTGCTGCAAATTGGTCGCTTTTGACTTTATTTTAAGCACGAGGGGGCTATCCCGAAAAATGCTGTTTTGAGAAAATCGAAGGTAAAGTTTTGTGGATCCTTGTTCAGTTTCTTTAAGAAACAAGGAGAGTTTTCTCTATAACCAAACCAAAATACACTCCAATGAAACCAAACTTCTCCTGTAGGTAGGGCAATGCTCACTTTGATGTAGGTCAAGATTTCTGGAAAACCCCGAAATCTGGGTTATCCCGCTTGTCCTTAAAAGCAGACAATTATACTGATAATGGATCTGCATTCAAAACAAGCTCATGTATACTAACCGCATTTTGACTTCGATAAAAAGCATTAAATGTACCCTCCTCTTAAGTACCCATTCTATCAGATAGCAGCCGACAGACTGACTGACTTACCATTGTCTCTGAATATGTTCCTCTCAATTCCAGATCCCGCGTCAAAACCTGGTGCTTTTATGCAAGCTGTGCGTTGATGGTGAGTGTTTGTGTAAAAAACATTCATGCTTTGAACGATCAGGGTTTTTTCTTTGTTTTTGTTGTTATTGTCGTTTGGGGGGATTTTGGGGGGAGGGGCGGAGGGTATGTGTACATATAAATAAAAGAGTAATATTTGTAATCTATTAGACCAATGGTCTTACTAATAGAGGAGAAACTCATCTGTAAACCTGAGTTGAAGTATAGATTTTAAAGATAATCTTTAGTAACATTTAGTCAGAAAACAGTTTTGAAATTTATGAAAAAGCACAGTGACCTACAATTTGTAATAGTTAAATTTATAGACCAGAAAACGACATGAAGAAATCAGTAACATTTGCATGAATGTTGCTTTTTCAGCTGTAAGTTTCACATGTTTATTGAAGTTACTGACCGTACCTTGACTTAAAGCTAAGAGCTCCCTCTTTCTCTCTCTCTCTCTCTCTCTCTCTCTCTCTCTCTCA